TGTAAGTGTCTGTGTGTGTGAGTGTGTGAGTGTGTGTGAGTGTGAGAGTGTGTGAGAGGGTGTAAGTGAGTGTGTGGTGAGTGAGTGTGTGTGAGTGAGTGTGTGGGGTGAGTGAGTGTGGGGTGAGTGAGTGAGTGTGTGAGTGTGTGAGTGAGTGAGTGTGTGTGTCACTGTGTGTGTGTATCAGTGTGGGGAGCGGTAGTGTAGCGGTTAGCGCTACGCTGCGCTATGAACCCGGCGACACGAGTTCGATTCCCGCTCACGGCCAACACCAGTGACGATTATCTGAACCGGTCCCAGGCCCTCCCCTAGGTCGACTCAGCCTCAAATGAGTACCCGGTGCGGTGTGTAAACATTGCCACTAGGGAGACAAAGGCGGTCGGGCGTGGTGCTGGCCACCCACCCCTCGTGTGCCGTTCTGGCCTTCATAGGTGCTCGCTAACAGCACTTGCCCCTACAGTCTGTTAAGGCTACACGGGGGATCTTTGTCTTTTGTATCAGTGTGTGTGTGATGCTCGCTAAGAGCACTTGCCCGAGTCTCCCTGTGCGAGGCTACCTGTTGAAGCTTTGTCTTTGTGCAGCAGCCGCTCGTACCCTACGCGCCAGCGCCACCTCGTGGGCAAAACTTTACACAGGTGCCAGGCTAGGTGCACACACACAGGTGCCAGGCTAGGTGCACACACACAGGTGCCAGGCTAGGTGCACACACACAGGTGCCAGGCTAGGTGCACACACACAGGTGCCAGGCTAGGTGCACACACACTCACACACACAGGTGCCAGGCAAGGTACACACACACAGGTGCCAGGCTAGGTGCACACACACTCACACACACAGGTTCCAGGCAAGGTACACACACACAGGTGCCAGGCTAGGTGCACACACACACAGGTGCCAGGCTAGGTACACACACACACACAGGTGCCAGGCTAGGTACACACACACACTCACACTCACTCACACACACTCACACATACACACTTACACACACTCACTCACACACACACTCACACACACACTCACACACACAGGTGCCAGGCAAGGTACACACACACAGGTGCCAGGCTAGGTGCACACACACACAGGTGCCAGGCTAGGTACACACACACACTCACACTCACTCACACACACTCACACATACACACTTACACACACCCACTCACACACACACTCACACACACACTCACACACACAGGTGCCAGGCAAGGTACACACACACAGGTGCCAGGCTAGGTGCACACACACACAGGTGCCAGGCTAGGTACACACACACACAGGTGCCAGGCTAGGTACACACACACACTCACACTCACTCACACACACTCACACATACACACTTACACACACTCACACACACACACTCACACACACACTCACACACACAGGTGCCAGGCTAGGTGCACACACACACACAGGTGCCAGGCTAGGTACACACACACACAGGTGCCAGGCTAGGTACACACACACACAGGTGCCAGGCTAGGTGCACACACACACAGGTGCCAGGCTAGGTACACACACACAGGTGCCAGGCTAGGTGCACACACACACTCACTCACACACTCACACATATTCACTCACTCACACACTCACACACTCACACACTCACTCACTCACACACACTCACTCACACTCACTCACACGCTCACACACTCACACACACTCACACATTCACACACTCACACACTCACTCACACACACACTCACTCACACACACTCACTCACACTCACTCACACGCTCACACACTCACACACACTTACACACACTCACACACACTTACACAGACTCACTCACACACACACTCACTCACACACTCACACACACACTCACTCACACATTCACTCACTCACACACACACTCACTCACACACACTCACACACTCACACCACTCACTCTCACTCACTCACTCACACACATACTCACTCTCACACTCACACACTCACTCACACACTCACAATCATTCACACAATCACACTCTCACACTCACTCACACACTCACTCACACACACTCACACACACACTCACACACTCACTCACACACACACATACTCACTCACACTCACTCACTCACACACTCACACACACTTACACACACTTACACACTCACACACTCACACACACACTTACACACTCACACACATACACTCACACACACACATTCTCACTCACTCACACACTCACACACACTTACACACACTCACACACACTTACACACCCTCACTCACACACACACTCACAGACACACTCACTCACACACTCACACACTCACTCACACACTCACTCACACTCACACATTCACACACTCACACACTCACTCACACACACACTCACTCACTCACACGCAGTCACTCACACTCACTCACACACTCACACACTTACACACTCTCACACACACTTACACACACTCACTCACTCACACGCTCACACACACACTCACTCACACACTCACACACTCACTCACTCACACACACACTCACTCACACACTCACTCACACACTCACACACTCACTCACACACACACTCACACACTCACTCACTCACACACACTCACTCACTCACACACTCACACACACTCACTCACACACACAGGTGCCAGACTAGGTACAAACACACACACACACTAGCCGCATCTACATCTACAGAGCGTGAAGAACCAGTGGCATCTACATCTACAGAACGTGAAGAATCAGTGGCATCTACATCTACAGAACGTGAAGAACCAGTGGCATCTACATCTACAGAACGTGAAGAACCAGTGGCATCTACATCTACAGAACATGAAGAACCAGTGGCATCTACATCTACAGAACGTGAAGAATCAGTGGCATCTACATCTACAGAACGTGAAGAACCAGTGGCATCTACATCTACAGAACATGAAGAACCAGTGGCATCTACATCTACAGAACGTAAAGAACCAGTGGCATCTACAGAACGTGAAGAACCAGTGGCATCTACATCTACAGAACATAAAGAATCAGTGGCATCTACATCTACAGAACGTGAAGAACCAGTGGCATCTACATCTACAGAACGTGAAGAACCAGTGGCATCTACATCTACAGAACGTGAAAAACCAGTGGCATCTACATCTACATCTACAGAACGTGAAGAACCAGTGGCATCTACATCTGCAGAACATGAAGAACCAGTGGCATCTGCAGAACGTGAAGAACCAGTTGCATCTACATCTACAGAACACGAAGAATCAGTGGCATCTACATCTGCAGAACGTGAAGAACCAGTGGCATCTACATCTACAGAACATGAAGAACCAGTGGCATCTACATCTGCAGAACGTGAAGAACCAGTGGCATCTACATCTACAGAACATGAAGAACCAGTGGCATCTGCAGAACATGAAGAACCAGTGGCATCTACATCTACAGAACATGAAGAACCAGTGGCATCTACATCTGCAGAACATGAAGAACCAGTGGCATCTACATCTACAGAACACGAAGAATCAGTGGCATCTACATCTACAGAACATGAAGAACCAGTGGCATCTACATCTGCAGAACATGAAGAACCAGTGGCATCTACATCTGCAGAACGTGAAGAACCAGTGGCATCTACATCTACAGAACGTGAAGAACCAGTGGCATCTAAATCTACAGAACATGAAGAACCAGTGGCATCTGCAGAACATGAAGAACCAGTGGCATCTACATCTACATAACACGAAGAATCAGTGGCATCTACATCTACAGAACGTGAAGAACCAGTGGCATCTACACCTGCAGAACGTGAAGAACCAGTGGCATCTACATCTGCAGAACGTGAAGAACCAGTGGCATCTACATCTACAGAACATGAAGAACCAGTGGCATCTACATCTACAGGAGATTATAAAACTTTGAAAGCCATTCCCCGCGTCTCGTGTACACGCCGTACAATGAGTTTGCAATCAGAACAGACACCTCAGGAACCGAACGAGTTCGTAAGTACAGATTAGTCCCCGAGTTACGATGATCCCCGAGTTACGCTGGTCCCCGAGTTACGATGGTCCCCGACTTACGATATTTCGATCTTACGATGGCGACACGACAAAATTGCCATCAACAACGTAACGTCGTTCAAGTGTGAGTACAGTACAATGTGATACGTTACGATACGTTCAATGCATGTATACACTACACTATACACTACACTATACACTACACTATACACTACACTACACACTACACTACACACTACACTACACACTACACTATACATACACTATACACTACACACTACACTATACACTACACTTTACACTACACTATACACTACACTATACACTACACTACACACTACACTATACATACACTATACACTACACACTACACTATACACTACACTATACACTTTACACTACACTATACACTACACACTACACTATACACTATACACTACAGTATACACGACACACTACACTACACTGTACACTAGACTATACACTACACTATACACTACACTATACACTACACACTACACTATACACTACACACTACACTATACACTATACCCTACACTATACACTACACACGACACTATACACGACACACTACACTATACACTATACTCTACACTACACTATACACTACACTATACACTACACACTACACTCTACACTACACTATACACGACACACTACACTATACACTACACTACACACTACACTATACACTACAATACACACTACAATATACACTACACTACACACTACACTATACACTACACACTACACTATACACTACACTACACACTACACTATACACTACAATACACACTACAATATACACTACACACTACACTATACACTACACACTACACTATACACTACAATACACACTACAATTAACACTACACTACACACTACACTATACACTACACTATACACTACACTATACACTACACTACATTATACACTACAATACACACTACACTATACACTACACTATACACTACTATACACTATACACACTACACTATACACTACACTATACACTATACACACTATACACTACTATACACTACACTATACACTACACTATACACTATACACACTATACACTACACTATACACTACACTATACACTATACCCTACACTATACACTACTACACTATACACTACACACTACACACTACACTATACACTACACCATACACTACACTATACACTACACTATACACTACACACTACACTATACACTACACTATACACTATACCCTACACTATACACTACACACTACACTATACACGACACACTACACTATACACTACACTATACACTACACTATACACTACATTATACACTACAATACACACTACACTACACACTACACTATACACTACACTATACACTACACTATACACTACACTACACTATACACTACACTACGCTATACTCTATACACTACACTACACTATACACTACATTATACACTACACTATACACTACACTACACTATACACTACATTATACACTACACTACACACTACACTATACACTACACTATACACTACACTATACACTACAATACACACTACACTACACACTACACTATACACTACACACTACACTATACACTATACCCTACACTATACACTACACACGACACTATACACGACACACTACACTATACACTATACTATACACTACACTATACACTACACTATACACTACACACTACACTCTACACTACACTATACACGACACACTACACTATACACTACACTACACACTACACTATACACTACAATACACACTACAATATACACTACACTACACACTACACTATACACTACACACTACACTATACACTACACTACACACTACACTATACACTACAATACACACTACAATATACACTACACACTACACTATACACTACACACTACACTATACACTACAATACACACTACAATATACACTACACTACACACTACACTATACACTACACTATACACTACACTATACACTACACTACATTATACACTACAATACACACTACACTATACACTACACTATACACTACTATACACTATACACACTACACTATACACTACACTATACACTATACACACTATACACTACTATACACTACACTATACACTACACTATACACTATACACACTATACACTACACTATACACTACACTATACACTATACCCTACACTATACACTACTACACTATACACTACACACTACACACTACACTATACACTACACCATACACTACACTATACACTACACTATACACTACACACTACACTATACACTACACTATACACTATACCCTACACTATACACTACACACTACACTATACACGACACACTACACTATACACTACACTATACACTACACTATACACTACATTATACACTACAATACACACTACACTACACACTACACTATACACTACACTATACACTACACTACACTATACACTACACTACGCTATACTCTACACTACACTATACACTACATTATACACTACACTATACACTACACTATACACTACACTACATTATACACTACAATACACACTACACTACACACTACACTATACACTACACTATACACTACACACTACACTACACTACACACTACACTATACACTACACTATACACTACACTATACACTACAATACACACTACACTACACACTACACTATACACTACACTACACTATACACTACACACTACACTACACTACACACTACACTATACACTACACTATACACTACACTATACACTACAATACACACTACACTACACACTACACTATACACTACACTATACACTACACTATACACTACACTATGCACTACACCACTATACACTACACTATACACTACAATACACACTACACTACACACTACACTACACACGACACTACACTATACACTACAGTATACACGACACACTACACTATACACTACACTATACACTACACACTACACTATACACTACACTATACACTACATTATACAATACACTATATACTACACTATACACTACACTACATTATACACTACAATACACACGACACTACACACTACACTATACACTACAATACACACTACACTACACTATACACTACTATACACTATACACACTATACACTACTATACACTACACTATACACTACACTATACACTACTATACACTATACACACTACACTACTATACACTACACTATACACTACACTATACACTACTATACACTACACTATACACTACACTATACACTACACATTATACACTACAATACACACTACACTACAATACACACTACACTATACACTACATTATACACTACACTACACACTACACTATACACTACACTATACACTACACTATGATACGTAGCTTTAGCAATTTAATTTTAGGGTTACCACGATACGATACGTTCACCCAATGTTAAAAGTTTTTGTTACAGCAGATAGGATTGTTTCCTCAAGAAACTTTCTATTAAATTGCAGTTCATATAGGCGGGCTAAGAATCTACCTTGTTTTTTTAACTTTACATTTTACCGTGCAATACAGTATTGTAATTAATAAATACACACAGTATATTGTTTATCCAGTACGCTACTTTGAATTGCTCTTTTTGCTAAATTATCACCGTTCTTTAGGACTCCTGGGTAAGCTATAGGCAATTTTCGACTTACGATATTTTCGACTTACGATGGGGTCGTTGTAACGCATCTGCATCGTAGTGAAACTGATGGCCTTAATCTAAGTTGTCTTGTGGTTGTTGTTGTTGTTTGTGTTGTTGTAGTACAGAGTTAGACTGATGGCCTTAATCTAAGTTGTCTTGTGGTTGTTGTTGTTGTTTGTGTTGTTGTAGTACAGAGTTAGACTGATGGCCTTAATCTAAGTTGTCTTGTGGTTGTTGTTGTTGTTTGTGTTGCTGTAGTACAGAGTTAGACTGATGGCCTTAATCTAAGTTGTCTTGTGGTTGTTGTTGTTGTTTGTGTTGTTGTAGTACAGAGTTAGACTGATGGCTTTAATCTAAGTTGTCTTGTGGTTGTTGTTGTTGTTGTTGTTGTTTGTTGTAGTACAGAGTTAGACTGATGGCCTTAATCTAAGTTGTCTTGTGGTTGTTGTTGTTGTTTGTGTTGTTGTAGTACAGAGTTAGACTGATGGCTTTAATCTAAGTTGTCTTGTGGTTGTTGTTGTTGTTGTTTGTGTTGTTGTAGTACAGAGTTAGACTGATGGCTTTAATCTAAGTTGTCTTGTGGTTGTTGTTGTTGTTTGTGTTGCTGTAGTACAGAGTTAGACTGATGGCCTTAATCTAAGTTGTCTTGTGGTTGTTGTTGTTGTTTGTGTTGTTGTAGTACAGAGTTAGACTGATGGCTTTAATCTAAGTTGTCTTGTGGTTGTTGTTGTTGTTGTTGTTTGTGTTGTTGTAGTACAGAGTTAGACTGATGGCTTTAATCTAAGTTGTCTTGTGGTTGTTGTTGTTGTTGTTTGTGTTGTTGTAGTACAGAGTTAGACTGATGGCTTTAATCTAAGTTGTCTTGTGGTTGTTGTTGTTGTTTGTGTTGCTGTAGTACAGAGTTAGACTGATGGCCTTAATCTAAGTTGTCTTGTGGTTGTTGTTGTTGTTTGTGTTGTTGTAGTACAGAGTTAGACTGATGGCTTTAATATAAGTTGTCTTGTGGTTGTTGTTGTTGTTGTTGTTTGTGTTGTTGTAGTACAGAGTTAGACTGATGGCCTTAATCTAAGTTGTCTTGTGGTTGTTGTTGTTGTTTGTGTTGTTGTAGTACAGAGTTAGACTGATGGCTTTAATCTAAGTTGTCTTGTGGTTGTTGTTGTTGTTGTTTGTGTTGTTGTAGTACAGAGTTAGACTGATGGCCTTAATCTAAGTTGTATTGTGGTTGTTGTTGTTGTTTGTGTTGTTGTAGTACAGAGTTAGACTGATGGCTTTAATATAAGTTGTCTTGTGGTTGTTGTTGTTGTTTGTGTTGTTGTAGTACAGAGTTAGACTGATGGCTTTAATCTAAGTTGTTTTGTGGTTGTTGTTGTTGTTGTTTGTGTTGTTGTAGTACAGAGTTAGACTGATGGCCTTAATCTAAGTTGTCTTGTGGTTGTTGTTGTTTGTGTTGTTGTAGTACAGAGTTAGACTGATGGCTTTAATATAAGTTGTCTTGTGGTTGTTGTTGTTGTTTGTGTTGTTGTAGTACAGAGTTAGACTGATGGCTTTAATCTAAGTTGTTTTGTGGTTGTTGTTGTTGTTGTTTGTGTTGTTGTAGTACAGAGTTAGACTGATGGCCTTAATCTAAGTTGTCTTGTGGTTGTTGTTGTTTGACTTGCATCCCACTGGGATGTTTGCACACAGCGTTGGTGTACGGTGATTTTTTTTGCAATATTGTGCTGTCTTTTCTTGGATTTTCTGTTTGCACTCAGTCACATAAAGTCACTTTAAGATGTTTTCTTGTTCATGTTTTTGTTTTTTAAATCCTTTATATTAAGTTCACTTGCTTGCTTGCTTGCGTGCTTACGACCGTGCAAATTTTCGGTCGTTTTTTAACCCACTTCCCGTGATCCAATCGAGCTGACATTTTGCACACAGACTCGTTGTGCGTGACAATTAATATTCGTGAAAAAAAATTCCTAAATTTTACACTTTTTAGGAAAAAATAAATAATATTTAATTACCAATTGCTTAATGGTGGCAGGCAATCATCTGACCCATAGGTGGCAGCCACCTCAAGCCAGAGGACGAGAGGACTCTAGCCGCCACGCATATAAAGGATTTATAGTGAAAAACTTTGTTTTTACGGGTTAATTTTTTTGTTTGTTGCAGTTGCACCCGATTCAAGAGCCGAATGGCTCACAGGGCTGTACCTAATTAAAGCTTTCGTGACTGCAGGGATTCATCTTCTTGGTTTTTTCGGTAAAATCACGTAGAAGGGAAGTAATAAAATAATAAAAATAAAACATAATAAAATAATATAATAATATAATATAATAATATAAAATAATATTATATATTATATTACTTTATTAGGATTTATTTTTATTATTTTATTATTTCCCTTCTACGTGACTTTACCGAAAGAACCAAGAAGAGGTCTACACCTAATCAATGAACTTTGAACTTTGAAGTCGAGGACTACCTGGACGTGGAGTCACGTGTCATAGACTCAGCACGTGTGGAGTCACGTGTCATAGACTCAGCACGTGTGGAGTCACGTGTCATAGACTCAGCACGTGTGGAGTCACGTGTCATAGACTCAGCACGTGGCTGAGACGACGTCACCGCTGTGCCAGGAGATGGCAGAAGAGAGCCACTGGTGACGACACGGCTCAGACTAAATTGGTTGCAAAAAAACACAGAGTTCTCGCGCCACGTAACGCACGAGTCTGCAGACCCACAGAAACCCACAGAAACCCACACTCGTAGAGACCCATAGAGACCCATATAACACACACTCACAGAGACCCATAGAGTCCCACAGAGACCCATAGAGACCCACAGAAACCCACAGAAACACATACTCGTAGAGACCCACAGAAATCCACAGACACACACACTCGTAGAGACCCACAGAGACCCATATAAACACATACTCACAGAGACCCATAGAGTCCCACAGAGACCCATAGAGACCCACAGAAACCCACACTCACAGAGACCCACAGAAACACACACTCACAGAGACCCACAGAAACCCATATAAACACATACTCACAGAGACCCATAGAGTCCCGCAGAGACCCATAGAGACCCACAGAAACCCATATAAACACATACTCACAGAGACCCATAGAGTCCCACAGAGACCCATAGAGACCCACAGAAACCCATATAAACACACACTCACAGAAACACACAATCGTAGAGACCCACAGAGACCCATATAAACACATACTCACAGAGACCCACAGAGACCCATATAAACACACACTCACAGAGACCCACAGAAACCCATATAAACACACACTCACAGAGACCCACAGAGACCCATATAAACACACACTCACAGAGACCCACAGAAACCCATATAAACACACACTCACAGAGACCCACAAAGACCCATATAAACACACACTCACAGAGACCCACAGAAACCCATATAAACACACACTCACAGAGACCCACAGAAACCCATATAAACACACACTCACAGAGACCCACAGAGACCCATATAAACACACACTCACAGAGACCCACAGAAACCCATATAAACACACACTCACAGAGACCCACAGAGTCCCATATAAACACACACTCACAGAGACCCATAGAAACCCATATAAACACACACTCACAGAGACCCACAGAGACCCATATAAACACACACTCACAGAGACCCACAGAGACCCATAGAAACACACACTCACAGAGACCCACAGAGACCCATATAAACACACACTCACAGAGACCCACAGAGACCCATATAAACACACACTCACAGAGACCCATAGAAACCCATATAAACACACACTCACAGAGACCCACAGAGACCCATATAAACACACACTCACAGAGACCCACAGAGACCCATATAAACACACACTCACAGAGACCCATAGAAACCCATATAAACACACACTCAGAGAGACCCACAGAGACCCATATAAACACACACTCACAGAGACCCACAGAGACCCACAGAAACCCATAGAAACACATACTCACAGAGACCCACAGAAACCCATATAAACACACACTCACAGAAACCCACAGAAACCCATAGAAACACATACTCACAGAGACCCACAGAGAACCACAGAAACACACACTCACAGAGACCCACAGAAACCCATAGAAACACATACTCACAGAGACCCACAGAAACCCATATAAACACATACTCACAGAGACCCACAGAAACCCATGTAAACACAAACTCACAGAGACCCACAGAAACCCATAGACACACACTCACAGAGACCCACAGAGACCCACAGAAACCCATACTCACAGAGACCCACAGAAACCCATATAAACACACACTCACAGAGACCCACAGAGACCCACAGAAACCCATACTCACAGAGACCCACAGAAACCCATATAAACACACACTCGGAGAGACCCACATAAACACACACTCACAGAGACCCACAGAGACCCACAGAAACACACACTCACAGAGACCCACAGAAACACACAGAAACACACACTCACAGAGACCCACAGAAACCCATATAAACACATACTCACAGAGACCCACAGAAACCCATATAAACACAAACTCACAGAGACCCACAGAAACCCATAGACACACACTCACAGAGACCCACAGAAACCCATATAAACACACACTCACAGAGACCCACAGAGACCCACAGAAACCCATACTCACAGAGACCCACAGAAACCCATATAAACACATACTCACAGAGACCCACAGAAACCCATATAAACACATACTCACAGAGACCCACAGAAACCCATATAAACACACACTCACAGAGACCCATAGAGACCCACAGAGACCCACAGAATCCCACAGAAACCCACAGAGACCCACAGAAACCCACAGAAACCCACAGAAACCCACAGAAACCCACACTCGTAGAGACCCACGTAAACCCATACTCACAGAGACCCATAGAGAACCACAGAGACCCATAGAGACCCACAGAAACCCATAATCACAGAGACCCACAGAAACCCACACTCTTTCGATTTAAAGC